TTTTTTAGCACACGCCACCAAAACACCCATATCTTTGGAAGCACGTTAATCTTCCACAATGCCTTCCATATGGTTGAGTCACCCGTAGATGAGCCAACATTCAGTTGTGTCTGCAGCTTCGTTTGCATTGCATATCTATATGCAGACCTGACCGTAAAGAGGCCAGACTTTTCTCTTGCCCAAGCCCATACGTCCGTGCCTCCCACACGCGGTCTCGCCATGGCTAGAATAGCTTCGGCATCAGGGGAAAAAAAGATACTGCGCACGAGTTCCGTATCCCACTGATTTGTCCCCGGGTCAAGAAAATCTGAAACAAACTGGACTGAATTTGGCTTGAGAGATCCCATCGGTTTCATTGATATGGTGCCTTCTATCCACTGATCATGCCATACCTCGGTGGTCTCTCCATTGCCAACTCGTCGTATGAGTCCTGTCTTCAACATATCTCTTCCTTGGATAATTGCTTTCCAAGTCTTAGAAGCACTTGCAGGGTAGCCCGCCGTCAGAAAACCTTCATTAGGGAAGTACCATGCTTTAAGCACTCTTGGACAAAGACTATTTGGATTCTCAAGTAGCCTCCAAGCTTTCTTGGCTAACATCGCATCATTGAAAATTTCCAAGTCTCGGAAACCCAAACCGCCTTGTGACTTCGCAATGCACATCTTATCCCAAGATTGCCAATGCATTCCTTTTCTGTCCACTGATCCAGCCCACCAAAATTTTGACATGTTTGTCGTCACTTTCTTGCACAAACCTTTTGTGAGTTTGAAACAACTCATAGAGTAGGCCGGTAAAGCTTGAACCACTGACTTCAAAAGAACTTCTCTAGCTGCACATGACATCTTTCTTTCACACCATCCCTGCACCCTTGACCTTGCTCTTTCATTAATGTGATCAAAGCTTTGCTCTGTAATTCTACCCGCAGCTGTCGGAAGGCCTAGGTACTTCTCTGACATTGCTTCTCTTTGAATTTGCAATGTCGCTTTGACTCCCATCTTAACAGAGGCGCCACTATTAGGGCTAAAAAAGATCGAACTTTTCTGCTTGTTTGCACACTGTCCGGAGCCGATGCTGTACTGGTACAAAATCTCATTCAGCCTTATGGCGCTCCTGGAATCAGCCTTCATAAAAATTAAGCAGTCATCAGCAAATAAAAGATGGTATATCCATGGAGCAGAATTGCTAACTCGGACCCCCCTATCTATCCAACCACCATCATAGCTTTGCAGCATACATGAGAGACCCTCTCCACACAACAGAAAAAGATACGGTGAGATCGTGTCCCCCTGTCGAAAACCTCTCGACGGTGAAAACACCGGCAACAACTCCCCATTGACCTTCACCTAGAAGCTTACTGTTGTCACACATCACATGACAAGGGAGATCCATCGATCGTGAAAACCAAGTTGTCGCATTATCCCTTCCAGGTACTCCCATTCAACTCGATCATACGCCTTGATCATATCAATCTTAACTGCACACCAACCTTGCTTGCCTCTTTTTCTTCTCATCGAATGTATGCATTCATACGCCACTAGGACGTTGTCGGTAATCAACCGTCCCAGGACAAAAGCGCTCTGCTCCTCTGCAATAATCTCATCAAGAATCTCCCTCAACCGGTTAGCGAGAACTTTAGAGCAGATTTTGTAGATAACATTGCACAATGAGATCGGCCTATATTGTGTAATATTTTGCGGTTTTTTTACCTTTGGAATAAGCACGATCACTGTGTTGTTCACCGTTGCTGGCATTGGTCCCCCATTCAAAAAACCGAGCACCGCCGCTGTAACGTCCGGGCCAATCAACTCCCAATGGAGTTGGTAGAACCCAGCATGGAAACCATCACATCCGGGCGCCTTTGTCGGCCCCATAGCAAAGAGCGCTGCCTTCACTTCTTCCTCTCTGAACGGCCTTGCTAGTCGTTCATTCATTGGTTCCGTTATTTTATGTGAACATGGTGAAGCACTGCCTCCACATCTATGTAATCTTGCGCCATGTACAAGCTAGTATAAAACTGCTGCACCTCGGCATGGATCTCCTCCTTCGTCTCACAAAGCTCGCGTCTGCAGTTTGGAGGCTGCGGATCCGATTTATGCTCTTACGTGCTGCTGCACGTGCTTGAAAGAACCCGGTGTTACGATCACCTGCCTTGAGCCAATCAGCCCTAGATCTCTGTCTCGCCAGTATCTCTTCCTTATGAAGGAGCTCCGATAGCTGGCGACCTAGATCCTTCTCCTTCTTGGTCGGTCCCCGAAACAGAGAGTTTGACCTCTCCTTTTCATATTCTTTCCGAACTTTCTTGATTTTCCTCTTTACATCTCCAAACTTTTTTGTTTTCCAATCCGTCAGATGTACTTGCGTGTCCGACAGGGCTTGTTCTATGCCCTGCAAACCTTGCAGTCCTGCTCCCTTGCGCCAGCCATGTAGAACAGCGGCATCATACGATTCCTCCTGTTGCCAGGCCTCCTCGTACACAAACCTGCACTGGTTTCTTCCTTCCACTGATGGCACTCCCTGCATCTTCACCACCAACATACAATGATCTGACTTTGGAGTTGGGCAGTGTCTTACAAACGTAGCAGGGTACATTGACATCATAGCCGGGTTCACTAGGAACCTGTCAAGACGAACCTTCACATTACAATCACCATGTTGCATATTATCCCGTGTAAAAGGGACCCCCTGGAAACCTAGATCATTTAGCTCACAGTCATCCATACATTGCCGAAAACCCTCCATCTACCACTCAGGGCGATCATGAGCTCCAAAGTATTCTGCATTATCTAAGATTTCATTAAAATCACCCTCACAAAGAAATGGGGCATCACTTTGAGCCTTCAACCATCGCAACAAGTTCCAACTTTCTGCACGTTCACTTCGTCTAGCTTTTGCATAGAAACGCGTAAACTGCCACTTCTTATTGTCACCAACTAAATTCGTAACCGAAACATGAATATGCTGATCTGAAAAAGTATTAAGAATAACATCTACTTTATTGGACCAAAACAATGTTAGTCCTCCACTGAGGCCATCACTATTGACAGGATAGCAACCCTCAAAACCAAGCCGGGCAGTGAGATCACTAACCCTTCTTCCCTCAATATTTGTCTCTGATACAAAGACTAGGGAGGGAGCTTCTCTCTTCCCGAACTGTCTCCGGGTTCCCAAGCCGGCGACAGTTCCATGATATGCAATTCATTGCTGCCCGTGGGGCTGGATCCCAGCCTCCGCATGGAACGTTGTGTCTTCTTCCCGTGCTTTCTTCTTCTTCGAATCCCTACCATCCTCCCGTGAACCGGACGATTTCTCCTCCTCATTCTGTCTCTTCCTCATGATGGTTTCTGTATCTTGCAGTAGCATAGGCCCGTTTCCCCCGCCTCTTCCAGCTTAATTATTCATGTCGGCCCTGCGATAGATGGATGCCCCTCGGCCCGTCCTGCCTCCTCTGCTGTTTGCACCTCTCCCCCTTGCATTGAACTGATATACCGTATGCTTAACTCTGCCAGTGGTTGGTTTCTCCGGCGAGTTCACTTCCAGTCCCGGCTCTACATCTTCCTCTCCTCCTGTTTCCTTCTGTCCACCCATATCTCCGGAGGCCTCTTGCTTGTAGGTTGGTGCTCTGCCCCAGCTCCTATTTTTGCTAGCCACGAATCTGAGTGCCTCCCGGTATGACGGTCTTCCATGCTCATCCCTCCCAGCAGGTGTTGGACACATTAGTTCAGCATGTCCCAGCAACCCACATGATAAGCAGAAATAGGGTAAGTTCTCATATTGGATCTCAAATAATTCGGTTTCCTTTGTTCTAGCCTTCTCGAGTTGCACCCAGCGCATCAGAGGTTCATCTACTTTGATCCAAGCGCTAAACCTGAGGCAATCCCCAGAGGCAAATCCTTTCTCATTCGCATCCAGTGCTACCACCTCCCCCACCATGCCTGTGATACGCTTTGGCCATGGCGGACATAACAGATTAAATAGGAGGTTGATCACCCGCGCCCAAATCTTGATCTTATCGAACTTAAGCTCTGAGGGGCGCGATCTGATGTTAAACCTCTCTAGAACCACATAGTGCTTCCCCACCATCCATGGACCTCCCTCAAAGATCCGATCACAGTCCCGCTTGATAGCGGAACTAGCTAGAAAAACATTATCTCCTTTTGGCCGGAAGTTTAGGCCCCTCGGGTTGCCCCACGCCGGGCGCAGGGCCTCCTCAATAGTGTTGACATGAAACGCCTTCCGAAACAAAACCTTCCCGATGAGTGCATAGGGTTCTTCGATCCTCTCTTCTTCCTCCTCATCAATGACAAGCTTCGTTTTCTCCTTCTCCGTAAGATCCAAACGATCCATCATCTGCTCGACCATCTCAGGCCCTGTTTGGTTCATAAGTCTTAGGACTTTTTTTAGTCCTACTTATAAGTCCCAAGTCCCTAAAAAGTCCTTACCTGTTTGGTTCCTGGGACTTATAAGTCCCTATAAGACCATATTACAACTATAAGTCCCTATAAGTCCCTCCTTCATAGTCTTATTTCATAAGTCCCAAATGCCCACTTTAAGTCCCTATAAGTCCCTCCTGTTTGGTTTAGATGGGACTTATAGAGACTTTTTTAAGTCCCTAAGTCAATAAGTCCCTAGAAACAAACACCCTCTCAGTCTCCCTCATCTTTCCCCTCCTTCCTCCCGTGGCGCTCGACTCCGCCATCAGTTTGCCCGGCCTCCCCCCGATCCCCTCCACACAGCGACACCAAGGGTGGGAAAGGACGCAAAGGTCCCCCCGTGATCACCCTGAGCGATCAACTGCAGCGTACCAGCGATCGGAGAGCAGATAAGCCGAAGATCTTCAAACCCTAGCCTTGCGCCTTTGAGATCGCCTCGTGCGCCGCCTCGCCACTCGAAACCCTTGCTACTTTACTTTATTATTACTCCGTGTGTGGCCGAATCGCGCAAGCAAAGCAAACCCTAGCCCCCGAAAAAAATCCCCAATCCCCAATCGGAGACAGAGAGAGATGGCCGGCGCCGCGGAAGGGGAGGCTCGTCCCCTCGTCGTCGTTGGAAGTGGAGCGCGCCAGTCAGACAAGGTTTCTGCCGCGGCCGCGGAAGCGGAGACTCGTTCCCTCGTCGGAGCCAAGGTGATGGGGCCTCGCCTCAGCCTCAGCCTTTCTCCGGATGCTCTGGACCTGATTGCGAGGAGGGAGGTCTTGCTCTCGGAGTGGGCCTTGTCGGAGCCAGAGCCAGAGCCCTCGCCGTCGCTCCCCGAAGCTTCAGCGTCGCCCTGGTCCCTGATCTTGTCCCGTTGCCTACCATCATCCCTACAGCCACAGCCTGAGCCTGAGCCATTCGACAGGTTCGAACACAACTGGAACAGGTAACAAGACATTATTAAACTTCTGATCTCCCTACTCCTCGTACCTATAACTAACTCATCCGTATTTATCTTATATATCTTGTATCTTGATAGTTCTATGATGATGATGATGATGCCGAGCCCCTCTGAGGTAGCAGCAGCTCAAGATCATCAACTTGTCATGGAATGCCTTCGCCATTATAACTTAAATCATCCGGTATGTATTGTGTCTACTCCTATCGCTTTGCTCCTTTGCGGCTTGCTTGGTTTCGATCCATGTATCTATCTATGTGCACACTGATTAAAAATGGCAAATTTGTCCCACAACCAAACAACCCCGGCCCTATATGCAGTCATTAGTAACTCTTCCAGAATCTCAAGCGGCCTTCAAATAATTTCAATTTTGATCGCTCCTACTGTCATGTATAAAACGGTTATCTCGAGAAGATGATGTTTGTGGATTATTTGCCACTGACTGGCATATACTTGTCCTCTTACAAGTTTTTTTAACTAGAAACTGCAAAACTGAAGGTTGTTGTTAACTTAACCCTAGTCATTCAGTCATTGTTCTGCTTTTGTTTTACCTTGCTTATTGCTACATGTACTCATTTCATTTTCCATGGTTGGTTGGTTGGCCAGGAAAGTGTGTACGTACCTGCCCCCGGCAAGGTGACCAGATACAGCAGTCCTCACAATGGTTCTTGCTGGACTCATGGCAACTTCGTCGCTAGCCCCAAGCACTCTGGCTACTTCTCCTTACTGCCCCCTAGACCAACTCTCTTCTTTTATGAGCTTGTTACCAAAGATGGTTTTGAAGGAGTTGTTTCGTGCACCCCGCTAGGTATGTATATTATTGCTATCTTCATTCATCACATTACACATACCACATGTTGGATCTGGAAACTCAAATCTCTTTTAGTGCTAAAACCCAAAGAACCACCATGAGGCATGCATGTCATCATATACAGGAAGCTAGTGCTTGATGCCGAAAACCACCTTAGCTTATTGTATATTTATATATCTTTTTCATTAAAATGTGCTCTGGTGACCAATGTTTTGAAACTTGTTTATGTTGTCTTTTTGTGGTGTGGTGAATTTGAGGTACTTGCAATGTTTTTACAATTATTATGCACTTTTTTTTGGATTGTTCAATCGGGATAAACTTGTGGTATTTCCCTTTTTCTTCTTCTCTTTTTTGTGCACGAGATGACTGATACATACTGCCTCCGTCCCACCATATAAGATTTTTTGCAAGCTAAAACAGCTTGCAAAAATGTCTTATATTGTGGGACGGAGGGGGTACTTGTTTATGGGATCTTTCCTGGTACAATCAAGATGGCTGTTGTTACAAACCTAGCTAGGCTCCTGGTTTTTATTCCATGTTCTACTAGCTAGGTTATTACTTTGCTTTATAAAAAAAATATCCACGGAACTACACCTTGTCAGTGCCTTCGCTGTTACACCATGCATTTTCTATGCTGATTCCGCTTTGTTTATTTCCTTGCTTGTGTTTGTTTTACATTCAGATGAGCCAGTTACTGAAGCCTACAGTTTGTTTGGCCTTCATCTTGGGTGGGGAACTCGTCGTGATGGCAGTTGTATGTCCTCGCTTCCTCTTTTTTATATATCCTTTGATGACAGAACACAAGTGCACAATTGCTCTCTTGCATGTGCATGTTTGTTGACTTAGTGGCTTTGGTGTATTTGTTTTTTTAGCGGATTGCCTTTGCAAGACATGCAACCGTCTTGTTGATAGCGAGGTTCCTTCTGTGGGGAAAGCATTTCCGTGTGGACATTACAAGGCAGAGCATGTTTGTCAGATGTGCTATCTTCAGTCTGAAGTGCTGCATCCATCGCCAGAAAAATTTGCGTTTGGAAAATGATGACTAGAGCTGGCTGAGCACTCAATCTATCATTTGTGGATAGGAAAGACTTGTAATATGATGACATGCCTTAGGTTGCTGGTTGTGCTGCTGCATATTAATTATGTTTTCCCGGGTGGAATGCCCTATGCTATGTAGTATTGTGAAACAGATGATGGCTCTCGCGTAAAATAAAATCATATATTTATGAGATGGTTGATAGCAACGCTGTGGTTAAGTCTTTTAGTTGGCAACTCAACTTCATCATACTCCTCTTCGATCTTCTTATAGCTCATGTCTTACTTATTCTCTTTGCAGTCCAGTCCAGGGTGTACCATTCTTGTCACGGTTGAGCAGCTACTAAGCTTAGACACATTTCTACTATATTTTAGTTCTATTACTACTGATAGCAAAGCTATGTGACTTGATAGTTCAACTGTTTGATGAAAGTAGTCTACTTGTAGTTGCTATTCTGCAATCAGCTGGCTTTATTTTGCTATGTTTAGAAGAAATATTAGTGTTGATGCACAGAGAGATAAAACATCTTGCCAGCTGCTTCAACCGGTTCCGTACATGCATGATCAGGTAAATTTAATAGGATGGCCTTTAGTGGAAGATTTGACAAAATGATCTGTATCAGTTTTCCTATGTTCTCAAAGAATAACAAATTGTTGGTTAATTTGGTTTGCTGATCTGTGAGGTCATTCAGTGATATTTTGATCATCTGCTGCAGCAGCAGCTTATTGGTCAGTATCGTGGTTCACTTCTTTTTATTCCAGTAAAATAAAATTGTACTGAATGCCATGCTACATCCCTTGTGCGAGCACCTTGCTGCTCATCTTACACAACATTCGTCTAGTGTCACTACAGCATGTACCTTAAGTATTCCCTCTGTTCCTTTTTATAAGTCGTTTTAGACAGATGATTTTGAACCATTTTGGGAGCACGCTGGTATGCATGTTCGAAGGCATTCTGAATTTATGCTAGAAATGATCCAGAAGCAAGGCATTCCGGAAACGCCTACAAAGGCTATGTGAGGCAGTATGTCTACCGGAGGGGGTGAATGGGAGATTTAAAAAATTCTTTTGGAAACTTCAAATCTCTCAGAACCTAGCAGCGGAAAGACGAAAAACAGTGAACTTAACATGAATAACAACTACCAAAGGGGAACTAAGGCAGACATCGAGAAACAATCGCATTATCAAAACATAACTCATGATAGATAATCGAAACTAAACTGAGTACAGATGTAAGTAGTGATGCTCGATGGTGACAGAGGATTTGGTAGACCAGTTCGCACGTCTGCAAAATGGACTACGTCTGGTTGGAGGGACTTGTGATTGAACATAGTCCTATTCTCCTCGACAACGGATTCGTCAACCAATGCCGAACACTCGTGGTAGATGGTTGAGGTGATCTCCAAACATTCACAGACTTTGTCTTCGTGAACCATAATTACTCTTGGTCACTAAAAGACTTGACACCTAACCGTCTAGAGAGTTCATAGCTCTCAAGAGTAATAGGTGGAGCATACTTGACTTAGATTCTAATGATGCTAAACCACTATCCACTTTTTTGACTCTTGGGTTTTTCTCTCCGTGGATTTTAAACTCAAATCACTCGGGAGAGAGGGTGCTCACACAAATCTTCTCAAAATCACATGGAGCACCAACGGTGCATGTTGGAAGGGGAGGCTATTTATAGCCGCAGTCTTTCCGAGGGGGAAAAGACCATTTTGGACATGACAACTAGCTAATGCCCAACTAACACGTATCCAACTGTCGGATTTTGAGCACAGCGGTAACATTACTTGCGAAGCACGTAATGCTAACTCACCGGCCCAACTCAAATCTCTCGCGGGAAAGAAGAACTACGTCTCTTGTTGGCAAGTATTTATTCAAAACACAAAGGGATTTCTCTCAACTCACATATGATTTGGTTTAGCATCAGAGGACCATAAGTTTCGGACACTATACCCCTCTTAATAGTACGGCGGTCCTATGAATCAAGAAAGAGAAGAAGAAGAAGAACGAAAGAAAATACTACGTCTTTTCTCAGTCTTCAAACTTCTCGGTTGCAACCAATTTCTTCGGAGATGCACCGAACCAATTGTTTTGCGTCAACAATTTTTGGAGGTCACTTTTGACACGCATAATCTTCAGTGATAATCCTCGCTGCCTCGCAGGAGATTATCTTCGGAGTTTGTTCCAAACTCCACATAATTTCAAGGACTTGTCACACAGTGTGCACTAGCAAACACATTAGTAGCACACTGTTTATCATAACAATCTCCAAAACATAAGGAGGCAAATTATTGCATCAACACCAAGGAAGAAGGAGGAGGAGGAGGAGGGGGGGGGCTCTTCCACCCTCCCTTCTGGTGGCACCAGAGCGTTGGAGGAGGATCCATCATCACCACCATCGCCTCCAACAACTTCACTTCCGTCTCCACCACCATCTTCAATCTTTGGCCAGAGGCTTCCCCATCTATTAACCACTACAGTCCATATATTGATGTCTTGTGCTATGAATTATTTTCCCATGGTTTATTACATCTTTTTATCAATGTTTGTGTAGTAATGTGTTGCATCGCATTGGTTAAATACTAATATGTTAGTTGAACTACTATATGTTGATTTCTATGAACTCTTCTGTGTCTTATGTATGAGTGCACACGCACCAAAGGGGGACACTAAAGGTTCTGCAATGAGTTATGGAAAATATGTGTTTGGAGGCCACAGTGACAAAAATAATTGTTCCGGATGTATGGGAGTTAAGGGGACCTTAGATGAAGTTAAATCTATAGTTGGGTTTTTACCTTAGTTACTCTTGGTATTCACGAATGCCTGCTAAGGGTACAATTATAAGTGCATGTGAGGCTCTATGTAGCAACGTGCTAGTTTAGGCTCCTCCCTAAAACCACACTTATTGATGGAAGCACATAGTCCATCTTACAATGTAGTTCCTTGTCTGCCGATGAGGTGATATGATTTCCATGTGGCAATAAGGTGTAATTGCTTAGGTGGGCGTGGAGAAGCATCTTTGCATATCCATTTTACTTGTTTCCAAAATAAGAAGACCAACCACTCATTATAAAACAGACAAATGCAAGGAACACTTGCTCCCCTTGGACACGACTACATTCATCACAATCACCACTGATACGGCCATTTTGCATCATGTTTTTATGTTCATATTTATTGCATTATGGACTGTTATTACACTTTATGATACAATTCTTATGCCTTTTGTCTCTTATTTTACAAGATTTACATGAAGAGGGAGAATGTCGGCAACTGGAATTCTGGACTTTTTGCACAACTCCAAATGTCCCGTAACTTTAAGGGGAATTGCTTTTGAATATATATAAAATATTGGGTGAAGAAAGACCAGAAGGGGACCCACCAGGTGGCCACAAGCCTGGGGGGCATGCCCTATACACCCAGGGTGCACCCCTTGAGCTTGTGGGCCCCCTGGCCAGCCCCCGGTGCCCATCTTCTGCTATATGAGGGGTTTTGACCTAGAAAAATAAGAGGAAGGCTTTTAGGATGAAGCGCCGCTATCTTGAGGTGGAACCTGGGCAGAAGCAATCTAAAGCTCTGTCAGAGCGATTCTATCGGGGAAACTTCCCTCCGTGAGGGGGAAATCGAAGCCATCATTATCACCAATAATCCTCTCATCGTGGGAGGACCAATCTTCATCAAAATATTCAACAGCACCATCTCCTCTCAAACCCTAGTTAATCTCTTGTATTCAATCTTTGTCTCAAAACCTCAGATTGGTACATGTGGGTTGCTAGTAGTGTTGATTACTCCTTGTAGTTGATGCTACTTGGTTTATTTGGTGGAAGATCATATGTTCAAATCCTTAATGATATTTATTACCCCTCTTATCTTGAACATGAACATGCTTTGTGAGTGAAAGTGCGTTATGTCGACTAGAGGGGGGGTGAATAGGCGATTTTTATGAATTCTTCACTGAGGAATTTGCCGGCGAGGAAATTCCTTAGCGAAGAACTATTAGCAGCGGAATAAGTACTCAAAAGTAAGCATAATAGAATACAAGCATGGTCATCATGATGAAATGAAGACTAGCACAGAGTACAGAAAGCGTAATCACAGGATAACACAAGATGAAGACAAACAGACTGAAGAAATTGAACTGAGGAAATTGAGAAACTCTTCAGTCAAAGTCTTCAAACACAGATATGAACAAACACTCAACACAGTAATGAGGAAATGAAAGGGTTGAGGAAATAGAACCAGTTAGGTTGGTGAAGACAATGATTTGGTAGACCAGTTCCAATTGCTGTCTCAGTTGTACGTCTGGTTGGAGCGGCTGAGTATTTAAACTCGAGGACACGCAGTCCCGGACACCCAGTCGCTGAGCACGCAGCTCAGGACACCCAGTCCTCACCGTATTCTCCTTGAACTAAGATCACACAGATCTCGTCCAATCACTCGTGGTAAGTCTTCAGGCGACTTCCAAACCTTCACAGACTTGGTCACTCGGCAATCCACAATTCCTCTTGGATGCACTAGACCTTGACGCCTAACCATCTGGAAGAAGCATAGTCTTTAAAGGTAACAAGCGTCAGATCCACGCAGGATCAATTTCTTCAGTGATGCTCAATCACTTTGGGTTTGTAGGGGTTTGGTTTTGGGTTTTTTCCTCACTTGATGATTTTCGCTCAAAGTCCTCGGAGGATGGGTTGCTCTCAAATGACAAGTGTCAAGTTCTCTCGGAGCAGCCAACCAGCTAGTGGTTGTAGGGGGGCGGCTATTTATAGCCTAGGGAGCAGCCCGACATGATAAGACATAAATGCCCCTCAATGATGACCGTTAGGTGGATAAGATATTTTGGGACAGCTGGCGCGCAGCACAGCAACGGTCGGAAATTTGACTCTCAAATTCCTCAGGGCTATCATGTTCCTCACTGTGTAGGTAATTCGCACTGACGAATTCCTAACTCCTTAGTCAGAACAAATTCATCAGTGACCAGAAGAACTTCATCTCTGTCAC